CAAATAATAATTTCTATGTATGTATGTATGTATGTATGTATGTATGTATGTATGTATGTATGTATATTTATGTGTTCCTTGTCTAATGTGCAGTGATTGAAAATGGAAGAATGAAAAAAATAATCTAATTAAAATTATGGTGGTGAATGCAATTCGGTTTAGTTTTATATTGAATTACATTCCACTGTTGTCAAATGTCATTCCACAGAACATACAGAACTCACACACTTTAATGCAGTTTAAAAGTTACAGTAGTAACTGCATAGAGATACATGTTTAGCGATAAAGGGCCGATGTAAATTAGCTAGCTAGTGTTTTGCTAACATTAGCTTTCAAATATAACTACCTAGCTAACGACTGATGTAGATTAGCTAGTTCTTTTATCTTTTAACCAACTTCAAAATGTGGTTGTCTTTTTTAGCCTAGAACATAGCATATCTAAGTACAGGAGAGGAGGAAGTTAACCAAGGTTCTGAACAAGGCTTGCTTAACTATTGGAGCACACAGCAAAAATTATAACCTGTTATTATTATTATCTGAAAAAGTGACAAAAAATAAAGTTGCAAAACCCCAAATTTGGTTACTAATTAATAATTTAAATACAGAGAGTATTTAGAGTTTATTAATGCACAGGAAAAGAAAAGAGTAAACTCTTGAGTTTCATCTGACCAAAACTGACCCATGGTCCAAACAGATACAGAGAGCGTGTGCTGAACATACCTGAGGTCTACTGCTTCTGCAAGCCTCTTCCAGGTTTTTGTGCCAGATGATCGCTGAAAACCTGGATCCTGTCTGGAACTTGTAAACATTGCCTGTGAGGTGAAACAAATTGCTCTGTATGGTTATCTGAATTTAAATGTAGGAAAAAGAAAACAGCGGGTGCTCTGTTGGTGGTGTGGAGCTGACCTTTGTCTGGGTCATTGAGCTGGAAGATGTTGGGTCTGGCTGGGTCATCCGGCAGCACCACCATCCATCCCGTCACACACACCTTCTTACAGTGGCTGGACTTGTACTGTGGCAAACAGCGGAGTACAGCACCAAACTCTCAACAAACTGTCAAACTAGGCAGTGCTGATCAAATATGAATCAAAATTCTGTTACTGCGTTGACTATTTCTTGCCTCAGTGCAAGTTAAATGTTTTGTTGTTGTCTATGGAGTCTGGTGAGTCTGTTTTTGGTTAAACTAAATGAACCTGTCAGTAGCAAAAACAACTTTTAGTGCCCATTGTTTTTATTTAATATTCTGTTGCTCTAGTGGATCTTCTATTATGTAACTTTTAAGCATACAACTTACATGTTTCCTCTCAGAGGCCCTCAGTGCCTTCGCCCCATAGAATGTCAGTGTTGATCCAGAAAGAGTGATCCAAAATCTGGTCCACGATGACAACTGCAAAACAGCAAAAACAATGGATATGCTGAAAACATCTCACTTACTGTCATCAGAAGATTCCTTCACTCACATGCTTAATGTTCAAACCACAGTGAAATCAAAGATAGGAGGCCTTACCCTCGGCTTGCGTCCCTCCTTCAGTAGTGTTTTCCTTCGCAGGGGTCCTTCTATGGTAACACTGCCGGCCTCGCTGCATCCATAGCAGGAGTTGGCGGCAGAGGAGCTACGGGTGTTGGGAAGTGGCGAAGGGATCCAAACACAAAACATTAGAAGGAAGGGAAACAGATTTCTGCTCAGTGGGCAGAGTAATCAGTGTGTACAATTCAGGGTTCGATCCCATGTGATGCTCTGTGACGGCACTGACGGTTTTCATTTTAAACAAACTGGTTTCACTGATAGTATAGAAGACGAACTAATAAACTTAGTGCCCATTTCATTAAAAACATGCTGATCGTGGTGACTCTCTGTTTTAAACTTAAAGACAGACAGTAGGTGGCGCTAGTTCTTCAGTCAGAAAAAAAAAGGAGGGCGCAACAAGATGACGTAGTTAAAAGGGCGCCAGAGGAAGTTCAAACCATAAAGAACAATGCAGAAACCAGGATGGAAATATGACATTTAAATGTTTGCTCCGTCAGAACTTATTCGGAAAAAGTTTCCATCTCCCATTAAGCATATTAAAGGTCCAGTGTATAACATTGGGGAAGATCTATTGTCAGAAACAGAATATAATATCCATAGTGTATAATCCCCTAAAAATCTGAATTGTTGTGTTCATTACCTTAGAAATAAGACGTTTTTATCCAGAGATAGCAGGTCCTCTAATAAGAGTCCACCATGTTTCTACAGTAGCACACAGACAAACCAAACACTGGCTCTAGATAGGGTCAATAATGTTTTTTACGAGTTTTGTGGCCACGATAGTTCCTCCTAATGATGGAAGGCTGAGCTGTGTTCAAATGGTTGGAATCTGCAACTTCACCACTAAATGGTAAATGGTAAAAACACTACATGCCACACTCACCCC